ATCCAGCTGTTTCCCAGTCCTCTTTGCTCTCCGTGGGTCATGCAGATCTTAAGCGGCACAGCCACGTCCTGAAGAGAAGCAGACAGCTAAAAAATGACAGCCCTCATTGTCTCTTCAGAAGGGCTTGGCAGGGTCCTCCCACTGCCTTTCTGCAAGTGGCCGGGTGGAAAACGCTGCTTAGCCTGCAAACCCTGCTCACTACCTGAGGTTTGGTAAGCCTCAGGAAAGGGGATTCGGCATCTGCCTCTGGGTGAATGGCCCTGGCAGGGGGTCTCAATGCATTTTGAGGGGTTGTTTTGCATCAGGAGAGTGGCCCAACTCCGGGCTTCCCAAGATACCCACCCAGGCTGTGCCTCCCCACTGCCCATCTCTGCCCCTGCTTTGCAGCCCGCTGCCATCCAGGAGCCAGCACCCCACTGCTGGGCAGGGCATTGTGTCCTTCCTCTCCCTGCTGTGAGCAGCTACCAGCCCTGTGGGAGTCACACTGCTGCTCGTAGACACCTCTTTCCACTGATTTCCCCAGCCCAGCTCGCCGTTGCCAAAACAGGACAGATGTGACCCTGCTGCCACTGGCCACTCAATACTGTTCCATGGAGACAGGGCTTAGCGGGTCTTTCCCCAACAGACTTGGTCATGCTGGGTCACTCCAAAGTCTTCATCTTCCTCCTCCTCACTGGCCGTGGGTCTGCTGCCCGACTGTGGGCCGACGGCTGGGGAACGTGCTGACGGAGGGAGGTTTTGGCACTTTGGCCAATCAGGCTTAGGGGCCCACCGAGCGAATGGCTTGGGGGCCAAGGGGGCAGGCTGCCGGGCACACCACCATGCCCACATTGCCACCTAGCCTCCAGCTCTAGGATGTGCAGCTTGCCACACTCACCCCTGCCAACCGATCCAGATCACAGTCTGGCCTCCAGCTGCATCAGCCCTGGTTCAGCCAGGGTGATGTCAGCTGTCTCCCCCTCCTCCCAGCCCCCAAAGTCACTAGCTGCCTCCCCCAGCTGTGTGGACCATCCACCCTGCTGGCACAGGGCCACACGACAGGGCTGCCTGTCTCTCAGCCTCGGTCTCCAAGCAGATGGAAGACATCAACTCCCCGTTGCACCCCTCTGTGATAATCTGTCTTGCCTGCTTCCTTCTGGTGACACCCCTTGTCACGGCCAGCTAATCCCCAGTGCTCGCCTGTCTCTTTCCAGACCTCAGCTCTCACCAGACTGTCCTATCACATGTCTTTTCTGGACAAGCATCTCCCCGAAGGCCATCTCTCCCTACCCATGCAGGATGACCTAGAGAAAGACCCCTTTCCCCCATCTCCCATGGAAGGATGTCTGAGCACAAAGTCCCCACCATCACCCAGGGAACAGGCACCCTCTTGGGAACTTCATCTGACACAAACCCTGTATCCAAACACACGGGAACAGTCACTGACCCAGGGACCCACTCAGAGCTGGCCAGGGAGGCACATTTGTAACAGGGCAAGAAGATCCTGGAAGGACTCTGCCTTTGGCTTTGCCTTCCCTCTGCAGCGGGTGGCAGCTCCCCCTGAGGCTGCACAGGAGATGAGAGAACTCCTCTTAAGCACCGCCTCACGGTGGGAAATTTTCCTGTTTACCATATAAAATCCTGTTAGTTGCAGAATAATAAACATAACTAGGAAGCAGGCGAAAGAATGACCTTCTTGCAGCAACTGAGGTAGGTGGTGTTTTGTTTTTCTTCCCTCCTCTAAGAGAATCATCCCACCAGCCTGCAGCCATCCTTCGTGAAAAGGACCTGCAAGAATTGCTACCCATGGAGGAAATTGCATCTGATTTCCTAGCAGGATGGATGAACAAGAAAAAGCCTCCCATTTGGTAAAAGCTCAGTCTCAGGTGAATGCCAAAAGAGGATGCTGCAAGCTGGAGCCCAGGAAACCCAGCAGCTGCTCCAGGGACACCACTGCCTTGCTGCTCAGAAGGCTCTGCCATGTCCACAGCAGAGTGGGGCCAGCCTGAAAGCTGAGAACAAGCAGGTATTTCCCCCGTGCTGAAACAAAAGACCTGGCAATGTTCAAGGCCAGGTTGGACAGGGCTTGGAGCAACCTGGTCTAGCGGAAGGTGTCCCTGCCCATGGTTGGAACTGGATGACCTTTAAGGTCCCCTCCAACCCAAACCACTCTGTGATTCTATTAATACAGGGGCTGCTCAAAGAAAGAGAGCCCTGAGAACCTACATCAGGCTAGGCCGCTGGCAAGGCACCATCCATCTGCTCCTGCCTGTGCAGCGCAAATGGATGGTACCGGAGCAGTGCTGGGGCACTCAGGGGCTGACCATCCTGCAACCGTGCTGGGGCTGAATTCAGTGGGATGGGTGGGAGCAGGCTAAGGGCTTGTCCACAAGCCAGGCCTTTTCCCCTCAGACAGATGCTGCTACAGGCAGCACCTGGAATTTGCAGTGGGACAGGGATTTCTGCTGAGGCTGCGTTCCTCGTTGGGGAAAGACAGGTAAAAACTGCAGGACATGCTCTATGGGATATGCTTAGCTCAGCTGTCTGCATGTCTGCTTATTAAGCTCTGAGGTTAAGGATTTAGTTCCACATATCAGTTTGCTTAGAAATAAAGCATCGCTTCACATTTTAATCTCAAGTATGCTGCATTGTCTTGCCTGCTTCCTGTTGTGCCCTCTCCCCAGGACCTCTTACCCAGCAACATGCTGGAAAGTTATTAGCAAATATTCCGTGAAATATTTAATATCCAAACAGCAGGATCTGTGCATCCCAGGAGATTCATAGCCCTTATGCTCAGGACAGGAAAAACAAGGATTGTTTGCAGGCCCTTAGGTCCTACTGGGAGACACTTCAAGGCTGGAGTTGTTGCCAAGCAAAAACTTCACAGTAAAGCAGCCCTTTAGACGAGTTACAAGGTATTACAGCTTGGGATGGACTCCTCTTTCACTGTGCCCACAGCCTTTACACAGAAACAAAGGATATCTTGAAAGTATACTTTCCAGCCATACACTAGTTGAAGCCAGCTTCCTTTTCTGTTCTCCAAAGGATTTAAATGAGGAAATCTGAGCTCCTTCTATCTGCAGGAAGGCCATGGCAAACATGTCAACTGGCTTATGATTTGTTTATTTAAAAAAATCTTATAAAAGTATTTGTTTATGTGTTTATTAGGGTTTGGGACCTTCAAAGGTTGCAGAAGGTTTTGTAAAGCAAGACCACAGAGTTGTTAAGTGGCATAAACACCTTCCTTAATAATGCATAAAAGCATACACCCTTTTTCTACTCAAAATACTTAAGCCTGCTGGAGGGATGAGCTGTGACAAAGCTGGAACACACCTCAAGCGGCTGTGAAGATTCATCCGCTGACAGCAGGGCACAGAGCTGACTTTCCCATCCCTTCGCCTAAGTCGGGTAGATCCAGCGCTTTGCAGCCCTGAACAAAGCTTCCCCAGTGCCAGGATGGGACCCACGCTCCCAGCGCTCCTTAAGGCCCCTCAGACTTGAGGCGGGCCTGGTTTAGTCCCACCGCTCCAGCCTGACTCCGCGCCGGGCGCCGCTAGAGGGCCCGGGCGGCTCGCTGAAGGGGTCGGGATTGGGCAGCCCCGCTCCATCCCCACCAGCCCGACCCGCTCCCCACGCACGCAGGGCGGGCACCGAGCATCGCCAAAGGGCTGGAGAAGCTGCTCTTCGTCCCTAGACTGCCCCGGGAGCATCCCAAAGTGATGCGGGAGCACACTGAAGCAGGGAGAAAAAAGCAGCAAACGATGCCAGAGCAGTTGGGCCGTGCCACGGAGGGAGGGAGGCCAGCCACGCTCATTGCACACATACTTTGTTCGCCATCCTGTTTAGCTAAATGGCATCAGCATCACTTTGGAGCACATAAAGTTCCTCCTGGAAGTCGACTGCACTCGGATACACTGGAAAGACTGACAGCAGCCTCATGAGCTCCTGCTCCACCATTATGCCAGTGGGCAGACATCTATGAAGCAAGCACACCAAGGGGTTAAAGGCAATGCCCGTGGTGTTCAGAGCACCAAGCCCAACATCCACTGGCCCATGGACAACAGAAATCAAGGCAGGTGCTACCGGCAGCAGCCGATTCTGCTTTCCTGCAGAACTGGGCAGCACATAGGTGTGATCCCCTCTAGTTCACAAGGTGGGACAGTACCATTACTTAAAGGTCAAGATTGAATTTAAATCCAAAATATCTCGTCTGCATTACCTGGAATTATGGAGAACAAGGATTCAGGGCTCAACTTTTCCATGGGCAATATGGATTCCACAGTGGGGAGCATGAGGCTGAAACATCTGCCAGGAGTAACTAGTTAAAATACGGAATAGCCCAGCACTAGTCTTCAGATCTTCATACTGGGGCAATGCAGGGCCAAGGTAAGGAGCTTTCCCAGCTCAACAGGGAGGGGATGCAGAAGGACAAGGCACTGCCAGTCACCATTGCCACCAGACCTATGAGGAATTGGCTCAGGGGCCCAAAGCTGGCCAAACTCCTGTGCGCTGCATCCCACTTCCCCAGCACTGCTATTTCTAGGAGTGCTCTGCCCCCTGTATTCCTTTACCTGCCACGAGCACCGAGTTCCTGAACCCAGCTCTTGCATTACTCAGAACACAACTTCCTGAGGCTGGCCAGGTGGAGAGCATATGCTGCACCTCAAACCTACCCTATTCACCTCCCCTTCCTACCTTTGCTTCCCTATCTGTGGCATACTCTGTTCAACCAAACACCATTGAAGTTTGTAGGCCATCATGCCCTCCCAGTTCTGATTACTCCTGAAGACTTTTCTTAGGCAAAGACATAGAAATTTATCCTTTTATTGAATGTGCCCAAGGTGCCAATTATGTATTTCTCCTACCCTTATATGTGAATGCATTTTGTAGACCCCATCTACCAGGGACTGCGCTTTGTGCCTTGTTCCCGGGGAACTGGAAAAGGCAGAAATACAGAAAAGATAGCATAAGCAGTACAAAACAAGAAGGATTTTCATGTTCTCATTTTAATGATTAGATACACTGCAGATGTTCTCCGAAATAAATCAATCTTCTTTTAGAGTAAAACAAGGTATTCCAACATTTAAATTAGTTGCCTGCAATTCTTAAACAGGAAGAGACTCTTGATGAACCTCAACTTTTTCACTTTTCACCATTTTCTTTCTTAGAAAAGGACCAAGGAACAGCTACTGTATGAAAGCATATAAACACAACTGCCAGACACCTTTCTTGTCTTTCATACAAAGTTGCGCGCAATGGCCAATACTTTGGAGAACTCTCCTTCTCTCTGTCGCAGGCTATAGGGTATTGGTGTTTTTATTCTAGTCCCCAATGGATTTCCATTATCATCTATGAGTACTACATTGTTGGAATCAAATCTAGGCGTCATGGTGGGACCAGGCATCTTGTGCCCTACAATTAAAGCTTTCTTCTTTTCTCCTTTAATAGCCAGAAGGATCTTATCTCCTACTTTGCCAACCCCAGTCTTGTTATACACATGGATACATTTTGGTGGACGGTGGTACGGTGTGTTCCCCAAGGCGCTGTTGTCCACCACACGCACACGGGTGAGCTTCTGTATCGCTTGGTGTGCTCCAGTGATACTAGCAAAAGACAGAAGAGAATTAGACAGATCTCCTCAATAATCCCTTGGGAGCAAGGGCAAACCCAGCACAGGATATTGTCATTACACACACCACTCAGAAGGCGCCAGCAACAAATACATACCACATGGGTGACACACTGACTGCATTCCGTGTGCTCTTTGAAAGCCAAATGCTACTTCAGGCTTTGCACACTCTTCACTAAATGTCAAACATAATGACCATTCTACTCTGAAACACAACTAAAAGATGGCATAAAGAGTGGCTCGCATTTACTGGGCTTTTTAGCGACTGCAGATGATTCCATCAACTTCAATTACAAGCAAAAAAATGTGCTTGCTTCTGCTACAAACAGCCTACAGGAAGCTCAGACTCAAGTCAGACTCTTTCAATCTTGTGCACAGTTCCTAGCAATAGGGGGTTTTCTGACCAATCTTCTTTTCAGTGAAGTCTATAAGGGTCTCCCATCTTATTCTGTTCTCAGTGAGACACCTGAGGTCCTGCTACGGCTGCTAAGCTGCCAC